TGCATGCATACAACACATAGAAACACATAGAAATACATATGCTTGTGTGTGTATAGGTTTCTATGTCCAGCATAGTATATCATCTTTTGATATATGGTCATACCTAGATACAGATTTATGTGGTATCAATCATGTCAGTTGTTCCACTGTGTTTACAGGCGTTACTTGTAAGAACAAAGTGAGCAGGATTTGGCTGGGGGAGAAATACCATCTGTATCAGTACCTTGGTTCAGTTTTGTGTTTGAAAAATTAATTTACCAGAGAAACCTCCAGATCTTTGAGTCCAACCATCTTCCCAAAGAATGAGCTTAGTTGTCATTGTAGTTTCTTTTATGAAAGTAAGTTGTGTTTTATTTGTTCCTGCAAAGTCACTGGTTTTGTCCTTTTCATCTGACAAAATGTAAGGGCCTGATCCTGTCACAGTTGTATACTTCAGACTTCAGTTTGTGATCCAAATCCAGTTTCACTTACTCACATGGGTATCAGCTGGCCTGATTGATTTTACTCCTCAGTTATAAATAAGTAGCAAATTCCTTCTGGTTAATTGAGTCTTCAATATCACTATAAAAAGCAGCGTGAGATCAGAATCAGCCCTAGTGGGACTACATACACTCACAAAAAACTATCCAGACTTTGCCCAGTGGAAATTCTGGTCATAGAAAGTAAGAATTGCAATTTAACAGAAGGTTATCCTATATCAAATTTCTCTGTTACAACATCTCTGTTCAAGAAATCCTGTAGCAGTTGAAAACTCTTTTAGTTTCCACCAGATTCAGCACATCAACAAAAAAGTATCACATCAGCTTTGCTTTATATACCAAGACTCTTGTCCTTTCTGTTGCCCTTTCCTAGATTTAGCAAAATTCAGTGGTGGTGTTAAATTTCCTTTTTTTTTAAAAAAAACTTTCAAGGGAAAAAGCACTGGTAAAATTGCGTTTTCTAGGGAAGGCTGTGTGTGTAAATGAGAAACAGTGGATAGCAGCGGAGTGATCTCCTGTGGCCCTCCTAGTACAAGCTTTCCCCATATTGTCTCCTGCTTTTATATTAATTACAACTTGCATTATCAGCTGCAAGTCTGTAGCCCAGCAAATAGAAAATACTGCCCCTGGAGACCCAGCTTCTTCTATCTATTTTCCATCTCCTTCTATTGTGCTCTACTCAGTATTCACTGCTTTTCTCCTGGTAACACTGCTCTTTAACACAATTAGGTAAGAGCAAGAGCAGCACCATATTTGACTCCCAATTATTAAAACTACTGGGAATAGACACATGTATGCTGTTTACCTTCTGTGGTATCTGGCATTAGTTTAGGTCATATGTGTGTGAAAATTTTATAGCATGCACACGTACACAAAACAGGCAATTGCATTTTGGCAGACATCATCCACACTTGTCAACGTGTTTCTGCAAAGTATATTACTAAACTTGCAAGAAGATACGAGAAGCCCTGCTGACATTTTGGTTTTCTGTTTGTTTTGTGTTTTTTGTTTGGTTTGTGTGTGGTTTTTTTTGTTGTTGTTGGGTTGGGTTTTTGTTTGGTTGGTTGCTTTTTAGTTTTTTGTTTGTTTTTTTTAGTGTGATAGCTTAATACAAATTTCATTGAAATGAATAGAAAAAATGCAATAAATGTCAGCAGATCTCTTTAGGTACCTAACCTATACTGATATTGTATTTCCAGTGAAGTACACTTTAGATGTGTCATTTGGATCTATTTTTTTTGTGTGAAGACATATATAAAACAACTACTTCTGATTAGGTATTTCACCAAGAAGTTTTCTTGAGAGATGCAAAGTTGGAAGCAGTCTGGGGGAGAAAAAGAGAAGTTCGCTGACACATACAATGATCTTAGTCCACAGCAAAAGAATGTTGCCTTTTTATGAGGCTGTAAACTCCACCCCTAGAGTTGTCATTTTTTATATTAAAGCCTAGCTATTTCTCTCCCTTTCAAATTCCTGCAACATTCTACTGTCGCATCTTATAAATATCCAGTCTCATTATTTCTGTCCTTCAACAAAATTCTGCCAAATTGCTTCCTCAAGAAAACTGTGTAACAAGAAATTCCCAGTCAATACAGTCTGTCTTTCTAAAATGGGGTCTACAAACTGAAGTCAAGAACAACCTTAGCCTGGTAGAGGCAGCAAGTGTTTTCAGCTGCAGGAGTCTTATACAGTGATCCTTTCCAGCTTGTTAGGGTTTTGAAACAGGAAGACCAGTCTAGCTTTTGAAATACTGTATGATAGACTTTGGATGATATTTGCCTTAAAACATAGATGAGGTGTTACCAGTTAATTATTGTAATTTTCATATGCGTGATAAGGAGCTCCAACAGCAGCCAGCTTAAGAGAGCCTGCAGTGCATTAAAATTAACATAACTCACTGTGTTCCCTGAAAAGTTTAGCCTAGGTGAACATGTTGCAATTATTACATTTTCTAAAAGAAGGTTCAGCCTGATGTTGTTGAAGGGCTAAACTCATGCTATGCTATTGTTTCTTTCCTTTTTCATGTATTTCTTCTAGCTTTTTATCTGATTACCATCCGGCAAACAGCTGACACTAAGAGGCTGCAGAGGGCTGAAGAGCTCCTGTCTGCTGTTTGCCTTCAGCTTGAAGCTATTTGATGGCTTCCTAACTCAGAGATAAAAAGAGAAGCTCATAGGCATAACCGTGTTTTAATCCAGGCTGTAAAGAAACTTGCTCAGTTTTTGCATTTTAGTTCCATCTGAACTCTTTGTTAACCTTATTTTCAACTTTTTCATTCTTTTTAATAACATCTGGGTTGCTTGAACTTTCAAGACTTCTCATCTCTCTGTGTTTGTTTCCACCTCATTTTATATTTTTTTTTTTTTTGGTATTTTTTAAATGAAACAGTGGGGGATTACAGTATTAATTATGATTTCTGAGATCTAATTAATACAACAACCTCAGTGAATATAAAATGCTATTTTTTGGTTTATACTTTTTTATTTCTTGTGGTTCTGTGTGAGGAAAAGTAGATCAGTCCTCTAGGTTTTGGAGGGGGTGGTGGTTTTATGCCATAAATGCTGTTGTGCTGTATGTTGTGCTGACAGCTTAAGCAAATTTCAGATCCTGGACTATCTTCTGATTTCACTCCTATCCCCTTGCCATGGAACCATGTATGTGGGTGCACGTGTGCATCTGTGTAAGGTGAAGGGGATTTGGATGCTTCTTACCATTTGGTCACCTAGGGCTTTACTGGGAACCTTTTGAAGTAGTGAGCTCTTCCCTTTGTCTCTGCTATGCTCTGGGTCAGGCCCGTTAGATTTACATTACTGGGTATTGTAGCAAGCCGTTATTTGGCAGTTCTATTTTGCTTTGCTGTAGAGCATGTGGTACTAATCAGTGCTGGGAGATTACTTTGAGATGTTCCAATATATATTTTGGGACCTGATTCCAGTCACACTTACACTGAATTTTACAATGGGTAAATCGGTTGATTTTGTTGAACTTATTCCTACTACATGTCAGGGTAGATGAGGTCAGAATCAGTCATGGTCAAAGAACTTACTCAAACCTGTAGCTTGTTGCTTCCAGGATTTCCGTGTGCTTTAATAGTCTGGTGTTATTTCACAATGCAAATTTAAGACACACTCAAACTTCAGAAGCAATTTTGCTTTGGGTTAGGGTTTGGGTTTGGGTTGGTTTTTTTGGGTTTGGTTTTTTTTTTTTTTTTTTCCTGAGGGGGGATTTTTTGGTTGCTTTGTGTTCAATTGTTATAATACACTTGATTTAACTTGTCACATACAGGTGACAAGTAATGCAGGTCCAGCCCCTAGTCTGATCTGTTTCATGTGTTCTTGCTCTCTTTTTCTGCCAGAGGAAATTCCATCTCTTGCCTGCCTTCATGTGGTGCTGATAAAGCTCTTCCTGTACAGTAGAATTCCTGTTTTCCTTTAAGCAACAGCAGGGTATTGGGAATGATCAGGAAAGGGGAGGAGGACAGGAGGAGAATACACTCAACAAAGTAGCGCTAAACTGTAACATTAAGTTTTCCTTTCTTAGCCATTTAAATAGCAGCTCCTCGCCCTGGGAAAGCTAATACCTAATAAATTAGAAAGTAGGCATGAATTATGTGACTAAAGTACAGTAGCTGAGGTCTTACTTAGCCAAGTTTTGCAAACTTCATATGTCTGTCTTCTGTGTTCCCTTTTGTCATGTTTTATGCATAGTAATGTAGAAAGAATTACATAAAAATCACTATACATGTTATTTTATATAATCACCTGGTGGTTATTCTTGACAATACTTGTAAGCGAACTGTTAGAGTGATACATCTAGAAAGTCTTTTGAAATGTGTCATATCAAGGTGGTAGTGGGGGGTGAGGAAGAATCTTTCCTGGTGTATAACATCTTTTGGAGAAAGCCTGCTTTTTTCCTGACAATTTTGCATTTGTTTGAAATTTTCCAGCATTCAAATGGGTGAGAGAGAGGGTAGGGTGTGAGGACATGCTCCTCTCCCGTGCACATTCTCCTGTATTTCTTGAAACAGTTTTTCTCCTCTTCCTCTCCCCTCCCATCTCTAGTCAGTATGGAAAAACAAAGTGAGGAGAGGTAGTTTGCATACCATCTATCCTGATATTAATGTGAACACCTAGTATCATACATGTGCACATTGATGCTCATCCCCTACCCTCCTGTATAGGTCACTAAGAAACTTAATTTTTATTTTTTTTTACTCCACCGAAATATTCTTCTGCAGTACTATTTAAACAATTAAATCCAGACCACCATTTGGAAAATTTAAAAAAGAAAAAAATCTCTCCTTTGTTTCACCATGTAAATCTTTGTATCTATCTCCTCTGCTTGTCTTTGCTGAAAAGTTGTTACACCATGCAAATAGCATTGGTGTTTGGCACATTTCACAGATGCTAATGTGTATACTTTTCCCCCCTCCTCCTCTTTTCTCCCGGTTTTCTTTCTGGTCTTCATTTGCTTCATTGGAATGGGAACTGTGGAAAAAATTCCTTGGCACTCTGACACCAGAATCCTTCATCTTGGAGAGACCACGATGATGCAACCTCAACGCACTCGGCAGGCACACCGGGGCCCTCCAGCGGGGGCCACGCTTCCCAGAGCGGAGACAACAGCAGCGAGCAAGGTAAAAGGTCAAACTTTTTCCCTCCGCAAAGTAGGCATGACTAAAATAACTCCAGCTTTTTTTATTATATCAGTACATCTGCCTTAGAGTAAACATGGAGTGGCAGACTTGCAGTATAATCAGCTGTAACTTAGGGAGACGGTATTTCCTTTTCCTAACCTACTTAGCTGCATTTTATTATTATTTCAAAGTGAAATATCTAATCTTCAAACAAGCTTTGTAATAACAATTGATTAGTTCTGCCAATTCCTTTACAAATTTGGTTATCTACAGTTTATTTTTGTGTGGTGTAAGTAAATATAATGACAGACATACTTTCCAGCTGTGATGCAGTTGTTTGAGCTGGGTTATAGACGGAGAATTTAACCTGTAGTGTTTGCTGGGGAAGTGACTCCTATATGAAGTTTTGAAGCTGCTAAATTATCTAAAGTAGAAGCAAAGCCCAAATTGGACAGAAAAATGTTTCTTGCAGTGTTTGCTTGTACAAACTTGCTTCTGCTTCTGCAAATCTGGATTCAGAATGGTAAAGAGAGAGGCACCTGAACTGTAAAACCTCTGCTGGATCTATACAGCGAAGCCTTCTTAAGGGTTCGGAAGGCTTGATTTTTATTTCAGGGTTTTTTGTTTTATTTCCTACTGCATTACACCTTGTGTGTGGTCATTTGCATCCATGCTGAGTGAGTGTCAAAGGCTGTCATTCTGATATGATAGTGTTTTACACTTGCTTGTTAGAAGTATAAGTGACTCCAGAAGGTATAAGAGTCAAGCCTCAAGTGCATAAAGTTGGGCAAAGATGGTCTACTGTCAGTCTTGGATCAAACTGGAATTGATTTTTTTAAGACCAAAGTTTAAGGTGAGCTCCATTCTTGGTTTTTTTTTTGTAAACATGGTAAGTCTTAGCTAGCAAGTGAGACATTACCTTTATAGGGTCTTACAATATGCTTCCTCCACCTTATGCGTCTGCAACATTTTGCCACTGCGTTTCCACCACATGGGGGTTACACATGCCCAATAAATCCAGCTGAGAGGTTTGCCATCTAACTTGCTGTGTGGGATCCCAAACTGGAGAGGGGAGCAGCCTTTCGGGTGAGAGCTGTGGTGACTAGCCTTGCACCGCAGGCCTCTTCCTAGCACAGTATTTGCCACACTTAGGCAGCAGAGCAGATATGTGATTTCATGTCTCTCACGTGGCCCACTGTTTGGCACAGAGCTACGTCCCCTCGTCTGTCTCACGATCTGGTGTCAAACCCATTGCGATTCTAGGAACTTGCAAAGTTTGTTTCTGGTAGAGTGGTTTGGGTTTGTCTCCTACTTATATGAATTGTTTATATATTTGTTAATCTTAATGCTGACAGAATGCAGCCATGGCACAGGGTGTGATCCAACTCCAACATGACTCCCATGGAATCTTTTCCTGTGTGATTGGATTAGAGCTGTACAAGGCCCAGTTTGAACTATTACAGCTTCAGTAGCTAGTAAAAGGGAGAGTTTGAGTGTTAAGCAGCAAATAGGTGTTATGTCTATTAGCTGACCGTACATTGTATATTGTGACTAAGATGCTTTGTGTAGCAGGTGATGGTTTGCATACTTAAAAATTATTCCTTTTAATTGTCTGCCACAGTATCTTCATTCCACCCTTAGGTAAGAAATTCCTCACACCTGTATCTCCACTCTGCATCATCAACCCCTTAGAAATTAGGAGAGTTTCTTCATTGAGCCATGCTTGATATAAAGAAATACCTTGTATTGACATCCAGAGATCTTGCACTTCACTAGTCTCTGATTTCTTGTCATGTAACTCGGGGTGCTCAAGAAATATTGCTAAGCACAAGAAAAAGTAGTTGATGACACCTACGCCAACTTCCCATTGGAGACTGAGGTTTCTGGTAATATGTACGATTTAAACAAACCTGTTACACTCATTTCTGCAGAAGGGGAACAACTGCTGAAGGGCCAAAAATCAGTCACTAGTGCTGCCTAGTCTATCAGGGTAAAACATCGCTAGTATGCTTCCTTTTGTGCTCAGTTGGGCCTTTTAAAGGAAAGCAGTCGTCCAGTGGCAAATCAGCATTCCATTCAGCTGCTGGCAGCTGAAAGATGTATGATCCTACAGCACCAGTAAAATTCCCATTGGAAACAGCTTTGGATTGCTCTCCCCCCTCAACCCTGGGAAAGACTAAAGAAAGGGAGGCCTGTATTGAATTTTCCTTATGCTTCCTTGACGGGGGCAGGATTTACTTCACAACTTGTGAACTGGCAGTGAGTTAGTCCCAGTCTACCCAAGATGGGTAGATGCCCTTTTGAGCTATCCTGGTGCAGTTACTTTTTGGGGTTAACTTGGTTTCCCAAACTAAGGTTTCAAGACCCTCTGCAAATGCTGCTTCCCATATTCCACTTGCCCCAAAGGATTTCTTGGGAATGGGTGCTCGTTAGAGAGTCTGGGGTTACGTTAGCACTTATGGTCTCCTCCACTGATGCCTGGTGGCAGCAGAGATTGATTCAAACTACATTCAGTCTCTTCTGGCAGTGTCTGCTTTTCCTTAAGTCTATGATGTATGGCTTGTGATTTTTTTGTGTTGGGTTTTTTTTTGGGGAGGGGGGTGTGATGGTGGTGCTAGAAAGGAGTTGGGTGAGTGATGACATAATTTTTGCAGGCTTTCTCTGTGTGAGGTATATCTATTTATTACACAGAATATATCTATTTATTACACATCCATAATTCTTAAAGGTGTAGGCATTTTGTTTGTTTATGGAGGACAGTTTCTCCACAACAGCACGTGACTGTCATTTGGCATCAAAAGGGTTAATCTAATTGGTGTCTGGTATTGTAAGAAACATGCTGGCATTTAAAGAGTTAAGAAAAGGGCCTTCAGGCAGTAAATGTTGAAAGATTATCTTAATTTTATTAGTGGTGAGTGTCTATGTTGTTCTTAACATGTCACCTCACTTGTTCGACAGAGAACTAAGCTATACAACTTATTGATCATCTAGCAAACCAAAGTACTAGTGACCTGTAATCTACCAAGCATTTATAGACTTTATCCCAGTTCAAATCCACAAATGCAGATCAATGCTGTGTAATACTATTTTAAAGATTAGTAATTAGGTAGTGAGCCTGAACAACTTTCCCCCTGCCGTGGAAAGAGTTAAACTTATCCAATAATAAAAATAAAACACTCTAAACATCTTACAAAGGAAAAAAGAAGAAGCTGATTTAATGGTCTAATGAGGCCATCTTCCAGAGACTTGTTTTGTGTAGGGCTTGCTTTGACCTTTCGCTTTGCTCAGGAGCCCAACGCTTCATTTTTCACATTCTTGCAATTACGTTAACGCTTCAAGCATTTCTGACTCCAAGTCAGCTAGCAACACCAGGCATAACTCAACACTGTGAGTTTTTCTCCTCTCTGTAGATTCATTAACAGGTCACTAGGGTCCCAACTGAAATTTAAAACTGACTGGTTCTGTTGGGTTAGCTGAGTTATAGCAAGGGAGATGGCAGGAAAGGGGCTGAGAGAAGGGGACAGGAGAGAGAAGACCCTGGGGGTTTTGCCAGGGAATATATGTGTAAAAACCCTAAGTGGAAGATTAAAAGGTGTGTGTAGCTTTATCATCCACTCTTTTCTTTGGAGTAGGGAAAAACACATCTGAAAGTCTTCTGGGGTATTGTGTTTTCCTTATTCTTCGTGAAACAAGTGAAAACAGCCACTGCCTTTATGTCCAAGGCTAAATAACTTCTAGAATTCATCATCAGTTTGTAACCCCAGTGATGGATATGATACTTCCAGACTTTAATTCCTATTTAATCTCTTTATGGGTTATTTCAAATAATGAATATGTCAGATTATGCATGAAAAGTGGGAAATAAATCTTTTTAAGGTTTAAAAACATGTGGTCTACAGGAAAGCACTAGGGAATAGTTTCAGTTTCATATTTTATGATACTGGGATTGTATACCTGATTTGTCATATTCTTAGTTCAGTCACTCAAAGGGCCTGATTCAGCCAAGACAGATGAAGGCTGTGCTCCTTCAGGACCTTTCAGGAAGTTCAGCGTCTTTTTAGGATTAGACCTGGGGTGATAAACTTGACCATAAGTGAGAAGGCAGAAACATGAAACTTCTTCTAAGTTATGCAGCAGTAAAAATACAAATGGGCATCACATCTATCACATCTACTTTGCTTTACCCACACAAGTAGTTCATTGTTGTATGGGTTTTTTGGTTTGGTGGGTTTTTTTTCTTGGTGTAGGTTTTTGATTTGGGTTTTTTGTTTGTTTGTTTTTTTGGGGTGTGGGGTTTTGGGGTTTTTTTGGTTGCTTTTTTTTTTGTTTGTTTGTTTGCTTTTTTTTTAATGGAACTACTTGTGCTGAAAGAAGCTTTGCCTCTTTATATATAATATAGGCTACTCTCTAGAGCAATATCATAAAGTAGTTTTGAAACTCTTTTCTGGCGGCTTGATGTTTGTCCCACAGATTTGTCCACAATAGCTTTTTGTGGCAAAGACTTATCATCTGGCCTAGGGCAAAGTCCACTAAGATATTAGCTGCAATTATGTGTTCATCCCAGGTTATGCCTCTGGATTGGTGCATGATGGAAAAATTAGGTAGTGTACTTATCCATTATATGCCATCGTGTAATAACTATAGTATACAAGAAAAATCTGTTTATAAAACTAGCTGATAATGCCCAAAGGCCTGTCCTAGTGTAGAATCACTACTGAAACTCTGTTAAGCTTTGAACCAAACTCCAATAGTTAGGAAAAAGAGAGGGATATGTTGTTGTTAATAAAATAATACATTCATGCAAAGTCTCCGGAGCTTAATATCCAACACCTAATGCTACAACTTCTTTTTCCTAGTTCTGTATGTATAGGTAAGCATGCTGAGGCTAGTATGCATATTTATCGTAAGGATTCAGACCATATTTTTATTCCTTTGTATTTTTACCTACAAAGCTATAGGGTATGGTTTTATTGGAAAAGAACTGCTTTTTGTAAGAAAGG